GTCAAAGGAGAACCTGGGGTCGGGGAGCCGGGAGAGTTTAAATTGGTGGGGCTATTTGATGAAGGGACAAGCCTCATTGCCCCTAATAAGGGTATTACGTCTTCATTACTGGCCATGGAAAGTTTTGACTATGTTAGGGAATGAAACAGTCCACCCCTCAGGGTCCCCTTGAGGGGTAAGGGCTAGACAACAAAACAGGGGAATACCGTGCCCATGGTTCCCTCAGGCTGTTCCGGACTGGCACAAAGTCAGCCTTTCATCCTTTCAGCATGGCTCTTACACCTTAGGAAGTAGATACCAGGGGTTGGAGAAGGAACAGAAACGAAAGAGCAGGAGGGAGAAAAGACCTTGCAAAATTAGTTGATTCGAGGGCTAAGGCCCAAGGCAGGGAAAACCCCTGCATTGGGTCTCAGTCCTCGTCTCCTAACCACCCCCCCCCCACGACAACAGGGAAAGGGATTTGGGGGGACCTGAATTTGGAAGATTTGCCAAATAATTTCTAAATTATAACTACTATCATGTAGAAGGATAAATCAAAATGCACTTTCAGGATTCAATAATTCTTTGCAGGTACTTGACAGGCAAATAGATTTGTGTCTTTACAACTATACACAAAATTCACCAAGCAAGCAGCTTAGTAAGTGGAATACAAGAGCACGGATATCAGGTACTCTGATTCACTGGGACTCCTTCTCTTCCCCTCAAAGGGTGACAAATAGCACTTAGGAAACAGGGAGAAAATGTTCATTCTGTGTTACTTGCAGTCTATGTATGAATAAAAGAACAAATGCACCTGGTTGAACCTCCGTTGCCAGATATCTATCTGTTTGAGAAATATAAACTGAATTATAATGGGTGTGCTACAATTAGTAAAAAAAGAATTATATAAACTTTTATGCATATAGCATGTTATTTCCTTGAAAAAAAAAACTATGAAATAGAAAAGGAAAAATAAATTAAAAAATAAATGCTGAAGATACTTTTATCTTAGATGTTGATGCCAACCATCTAGAAAGACTATACCACTATGGCTGAAAGAAATATAGTTTAACTCTTCATCCACAATGAATTTGAATAATAGTCAAATAAACAAATAAAAAGACACTTTTTAAATGCTTTCCTTTCTTAAACATATTCCGCAATAATGGTGACATGGCAATGGTGAATATACTGATTCAAAACAATAACTACAATAATTTAACCGGGAGAGCAAAGTAGCAGCAGGCAGACTCAAATATGGCTTTCCGTCTATTATGCAACCCTTCTCTGTGGACATTACTATACAGGTGTCAAGGCTGGTAGACAATGTCTTTAGCTGAGAGTATATAACAAATGCAAAATTCTCCTCATACTTTACTCATTCTCTTCAACCTTTTGATTTACAATATTCAGGCAATTGGATATAAAAATACTATATAGTTTATTTACAAATTTTGTAGCCAGCTTGTAATCTGACAGCTCTTAATCAATACTTCAAGACTGTTATTAATGGGACAGGGCAAACAATAAAATCAAATAAAACAATCAAAACATATGAAAAACTAAATGGTTTAAGATATTGTGCATGTAATATATTCAGGTTTGTGCTGCCTATTATAAGTGATACAAAGGTTTTTATGTATTACACAGTAGATTACTTAAATCATTGATCACCTGACTTGAGTGGTCATATGCATTCTTTTTTCCTGTGATACAGTGAATTCTTGTCAAAATTTACATAACTTTGAGAAAAAAAGTGATAAATTAAAGTAATTTTTCTATTTATAAATACATACTGGCAACCAATATAACAAAATGGAAGTTTAATCTAATCTGCAGTTTCAATAGCAGTGTTCGTTAGTAAGCAAAGTTGTTGGAATATTGTGACCTGTTCTGACAATGGTAAATATGATATTACATTTTGATAAGTCAAGAGGCCCTCCCCCTCAACTTTCTCTTGACTGCTGAGCTCAGCTGTCATGAGTCTGAGTCTTAAAACCTCAAACAGCTTGGTCCATTCTGCTTCATCGGCTGGTAGGACATATTCCTCAGTGCCATCTTCCTTTTGAGGTGACTCCCCCTGAGAAACGTTCATCATCATTCCATCCTGCACTACATAAGTTCCTGGCTCACCACTCTCCACTAACACTGCTGACCCTCCCTCATTCGTCCCATCCACGAACATTGATGGTGTTCCTAGACTTGTGCCATGGCCTTCCATAAGGACAGAAGTAGTAGTGCCAGGCTGTCTTCCAGCTTGCATAGACGTGGATGAAGTTCCTGAGGCACTGCTTGCTGCAGAGACTGCCATCCCTGTTGATCCCTCAACCTCCCCTTCTAACTGTGTCTGGCAAAACTCCTTCATGTACTGATCAACAGTAAGTGTACCTCCTTCTTCCAATTTCAATGATCCTGGTATCATTACTGGCTGTCCTTCTACCTCATCTTCTCTCTGATGCCTCTCATCTCCCTCACCCACTGCTGAGGTTCTGACTTTGCCCAGTGCTTCACTGGATGTAGAAGTCTGCACTATCTGCTTCAGGCGCTTTCTGTTGCCATTTCTGGAGAGGTAATTGGATTTATCTCTAGAGTGTCTCTCCATAATTCTGTTCATGATGTCCTGTGGATGGTCCACTTCATTGTGAGTGTGCTGAGGGTAATACACCATCTGTGTCTCAGCATCATAGTCCTGAGTGACTGGATTGTAATGCACTTTCAAGTGGATGCGAGCATGACAATTGCTGGATCTTTGTATGCGGACAAACCATCGTCTTTTCAGTTTGCTTGGAGATTCTCCCTCCACTTCACCTTCCTTTTTTTCTCTTGACTGATCAATCTGTCAATATGAATCAGTACTTTGTTATTTAATAGGTACGTTAGAGATATGTTGAAAAAAATCAGTATCAGCCATATTCTTTAGCATCAGTGTCAGTAAATATCAGTATCAGTACTGTATATATTTTGTATATCAATATCAGTAAAGGGCAAATATGACCAATACTCTGATACTTTTTAATTTAATTTGTCATGTGATATCAGTCAAACTCATGTTTTTGTAACAGGCATCAGTAGTTCATCAGAGCGTTATTCCCCAGGGTATAATTGGTAGTTGATATTACAGATACTGTTATATGAGAAAATACTGACTCTTAAGCTAGATAAACATGTGGGTGGTTACATATTACAATAAAATTTTGTGCAGGAATTTATTATGCTTAGTCCTTAGCCTGTAGGTGTTATATGAAATGCTGAGAATAGCAAAGTCCTACTGACCAAATCCTAGTTTTGAAAGTTTGAAATATATCATCTCTGTGATGATTACATGGAATAAGTTTCCTTGAAATAATACCTCCATTCAAGGCTTTTTACTTGTGTTAGTAAAATTTTCCTAGAGAGGGAGAGAGAGGGAGGAGAGAGAGAGGGAGGAGAGAGAGAGGGAGGAGAGAGAGAGGGAGGAGAGAGAGAGAGAGGAGAGAGAGAGAGAGAGAGAGAGAGAGAGAGAGAGGGAGGAGAGAGAGAGGGAGAGGAGAGAGAGAGGAGAGGAGAGAGAGAGAGAGAGGAGAGAGAGAGAGAGAGAGAGAGAGAGAGAGAGAGAGAGAGAGAGAGAGAGAGAGAGAGAGAGAGAGAGAGAGAGAGAGAGAGAGAGAGAGAGAGAGAGAGAGAGAGAGAGAGAGAGAGAGAGAGAGAGAGAGAGAGAGAGAGAGAGAGAGAGAGAGAGAGAGAGAGAGAGAGAGAGAGAGAGAGAGAGAGAGAGAGAGAGGAGAGAGAGAGAGAGAGAGAGAGAGAGAGAGAGAGAGAGAGAGAGAGAGAGAGAGAGAGAGAGAGAGAGAGAGAGAGAGAGAGAGAGAGAGAGAGAGAGAGAGAGAGAGAGAGAGAGAGAGAGAGAGAGAGAGAGAGAGAGAGAGAGAGAGAGAGAGAGAGAGGAATAGAGAGAGAAGAGAGAGAGAGAGAGAGAGAGAGAGAGAGAGAGAGAGAGAGAGAGAGAGAGAGGAAGAGAAGAAGAGAGGAGAGAGAGAGAGGAGAGAGGAGAGGAGAGAGAGAAGAGAGAGAGAGAGAGAGAGAAAGAGAGGAAGAGAGGAAGAGAGAGAGAGAGAGAGAGGAGAGAGGAGAGAGAGGAGAGAGAGAGAGAGGAAGAGAGGAGAGAGAGAGAGAGGAGAGAGAGAGGAAGAGGAAGAGAGAGAAGAGAGAGAAGAGAGGAGAGAAGAAGAGAGGAGAGAAGAGAGAGAGAGAGAGAGAGAGAGAGAGAGAGAGAGAGAGAGAGAGAGAGAGAGAGAGAGAGAGAGAGAGAGAGAGAGAGAGAGAGAGAGAGAGAGAGAGAGAGAGAGAGAGAGAGCGAGAGAGAGAGAGAGAGAGAGAGAGAGAGAGAGAGAGAGAGAGAGAGAGAGCGAGAGAGAGAGAGAGAGAGAGAGAGAGAGAGAGAGAGAGAGAGAGAGAGAGAGAGAGAGAGAGAGAGAGAGAGAAGAGAGAGAGAGAGAGAGAGAGAGAGAGAGAGAGAGAGAGAGAGAGAGAGAGGAAGAGAGAGAGAGAGAGAGAGAGAGAGAGAGAGAGAGAGAGAGAGAGAGAGAAGAGAGAGAGAGAGAGAGAGAGAGAGAGAGAGAGAGAGAGAGAGAGAGAGAGAGAGAGAGAGAGAGAGAGAGAGAGAGAGAGAGAGAGTAGAGAGAGAGAGAGAGAGAGAGAGAGAGAGAGAGAGAGAGAGAGAGAGAGAGAGAGAGAGAGAGAGAGAGAGAGAGAGAGAGAGAGAGAGAGAGAGAGAGGAGAGAGAGAGAGAGAGAGAGAGAGAGAGAGAGAGAGAGAGAGAGAGAGAGAGAGAAGAGAGAGAGAGAGAGAGAGAGAGAGAGAGAGAGAGAGAGAGAGAGAGAGAGAGAGAGAGAGAGAGAGAGAGAGAGAGAGAGAGAGAGAGAGAGAGAGAGAGAGAGAGAGAGAGAGAGAGAGAGAGAGAGAGAGAGAGAAGAGAGAGAGAGAGAGAGAGAGAGAGAGAGCAGAGAGAGAGAGAGAGAGAGAGAGAGAGAAGAGAAGAGAGA